CAGCTCTGTCCTGCCAGTTTAAGCCAATTTCCTCATCCCTGCTCAGGGCCTAGAGCCTGGGTGCCTCCATGACTCCGCTGCAGATTATTCTCCTATCAGGCATGGCAAAGGATTGTTTCATCAGCCACCAACCTGCTCCCAACGTTGGTCATCAAAGAACACTTTATTTGCCCTACTTTTAATATAATTATTAGCATCATCTGCAGGACACCGAGTCAGGGCTCAGCCTGTCATAGGCCCCATACTATCTTGAGCTACTTTTCTGGGAATGGCTGTATCCATGCCTCATACAGGCTGCCTCCTCCCTCACAAATTATCTGTAATTTCCACAGCTCTGTGTTTGCTGAGGCCCTGTGGTTAAAGCCAGGGCTGTGTGGGGCTGAGGTGCACTGTCATTTTCAAAGGAGTCAAGCCAGGCTCCAGGAAGCTGCAGGAGCAGCAAGTGGGATCTGGCTTTGACTGTGTCACCTGGTAGAGGGCAGGGAGTGTGCAAAACAGCTCTTAAACATACACCTTGTGGCCTGTTGTGGTGTAGCTGAGAGGGGTCATTTCTACAGCAGATGAATCCTAGGCACCAACTCCCGGTTGTGCAGAAGATGGAGAAGGGATGGGGGTTAGGGATAGAAAAGAAAATCCTGTGGAGAGAGAGAGGAGGTGGAGGTGCGAATGGAAATATTGCATTCTCCTTCAGCCAGGGGCCCCACTGCACATTCAGCTCCCATGAGTAAACAGCTAATCCCTAGGGAGGGACCACAGAAGGTGAATGGGAAGTGTCACTCACTATTTTACAAGAATCCCCAGACAGTGATGAAGTGATGCCTCTGCAGACAGGCTTGCTGCCTGACTGAGCTTCTGCAGGACAGAAAACATCTCTATTCTGCCAGAGATGATGTACTTTCAGATCTGTGCATGGCACCTGTGTGCGTGTGTGTGTGTGTGCGTGTGTGTATAGGTGTGTATGGGTGCATGCTTGAGTCTCTGTGAATGCACTTCTGATCATGCATATTGCATGAGACTGCATACATGTGGAGAGGATACTCAAGGTGGCAATAGATACACACATTTGGGCATATGAATGAGCGTATACCTGAATATTTAAGTGCAAAGGGGAAGGAGACATGGGGGGCATTTTCCTCTGCACTCTGGGCTTCAAGGAATCATTCCTTTCACCCCCCGCCCCAGCCCTAATACCCTCAGAGTTTCCAAATCCCAGAAGTTTGCCTGCCCTTCTAGCAGTTACAGCTCAGGAGGGAGAGCACAGGGCTAAGGTCTCTAAGAGCTGGTGTGGCCCCTGCTCTGCCAGAATTATTTTGTAACTGAATGCATCATTTCCAGTCTCTGAACCTCATTTTCTTCATCTGTGAAATGGGGTGCTCCCTGACCAGGTCTGCACCTAGAACTGAGGGTTTCAAATCCCTTCCTGCCTGGTCCCATCCATCCCTCCTCCCAACCATCCTCCCCTTGCCCATTCTTATCCATTGCCAAGTAAGGGATAGAGAATGTGCAGGCCTAGGTTTTGAGGAGCAGGAGTGGCCAGTGTCTGCAAAGATGGCTCTCCTTTCCTCCTCTACTGCAGGTGTCTTCAGAGACAGTGTCAGGGGTTTCTAAGGCTCCTGGTAGTCTGAAGGCCATGAGTCTAGGTAGAGCTCTAACCTTCATTCTCTTGGTTTCTCAGAGGGTCTCAAGGCCCTGAGGACCAGGATCCACCTGGTCACTGCTCTGAACATACAAGCACATCTCCTTTGGAGGCTCCCATGCAAAGCACAGGGCAGAGAGCCGGCCACAGCAGTTCATAAGCTCAGGCTGCATACTAGAACCCCCTGGGGAGCTTTACAAAATACTTTAGCTCAGGCTTCTCCACGACCAACTGTCCAATTATCTCTGTGGTAAGACTGGGCAAGGGCAGTTTTTAAAGCTCCCCAGGGCATTCCACAGCACCAAGAGGATTGAGAAGTGCTGGCCCTGGCATGGTGAGTATTCTGGGTATGTCAGCTGCGTGCTACCTGTGTCTTCCTATGTGCTGGTCCTGCCTGTGCAGCCCCAGGGCTGGGCTGGGCTAGGGGCGGAGAATCAGGAGGCAACTGCTGCTCAGGAGATATGAATGCTGGGTAGAGTGGCCTGGCATCCATCTCCCTCAGCCACATCTCAGAAAATTGAATTAAAACCCATATTTTTCAGCTGCTGCCCGCCTGGCTGGCTGGCTTGTGGAGGGTGTGTGTGGGGGGGACAAGTCTGTGAGCACCTTGGGGTAGGAAAAGCAGGTGAGGAGAACTCCAGGCCTCCTCCCAGGGGAGGGATACAATCACTGGGTGGGGGGTGGGGCTCTGGAAAAAGACCATTCCCAGGGGTGTCCCTTGGACCCCATTCTTTCCAAGTCCTGGCAGGTAGGATGGGAATGGTGGGTTGGCCAGTTTGGAGGTCAAAGTTAGAACTTAAGATGAAGTTGAGTTTTTGGGTGAATGTATGCGGAGGGGAGAAAAGAGGGACACTGTGACCCTGTCCTTGGGAAAATCCAATCTAGGGAACAGAACTGGCATAATTCCTGCTCGTGGAATGCCAAGATTGTCTGCATAGACCAGAGCCAAATGCTTGACAAAGAGAGCAGCATAGCACCCAAAGGGCCTGCCAGGCTCCCAGAATGATAGAGCAGCTCAAAAGGGAGAACAGCACTCAGCTGGGCACCAGGATGTCGGGTACAGTGCCTGCCCTGGTACAAAAGCCACCTGTGAGTCCTCTCACTACATCCCCCTCACTAGACCCTCGGGGCTCAGGCACTCCATTCATGAAGCAGGAGCTGGACAGCTTTCCTGGGTTCCAGTACTGATGTGTCTTCCCATGCCTTGCGCAGGCTGATGCTACCAGGTGAGGCTGGATTAGCATTTCAAGCTACAAGGTTACTAGGCTATTCAGCACCTTTGAGAGAATTTGAGAGGTGTCTTCCAGGTGGATCAACTAAAGCAACATCCCTTTAGGGTGGACTCAGGACATGAGTGGCTTGATGGACAATGAATTCGGATCTTCATGGGCCCCTTGCAGATCCCTTTGGGCAGAGCACAAATTGTATTGGAGCCCTGAATGATGTCCAGCAATGGTCAGCTAGGGCCCCATCTTCTGGCTTTAGGGAGTCAAGCAAAGGGAGAACAGGTAAAGGGAATGAGTGTGATTGAAGGATATCTGGGCTTCTCCCTTCATGCCTGGCCTTCCAGACAATGAGGAAGGTGCTACCAAGGCATGCACCACCCCTGTGTGCTCACACCCCATGCCAAGATGTGCATCTGGGAGCACAGAACAGAGAGCAAGGAGTCTGGAACTCGGAGCAGGACTTGGAGAACAAGAAGTATGGAACAGGGAGCAAACAGGAACTGGATGCAGAACTCCAGCAGTCCAGGGAGGCTGACCATCCACATTTCTGGGGGAAGCTGGCCCTCTGAGGTGACCCCATCACCACTCTTGCACACACTCCCTGGCTGGAATCCCATGCTGTGCTCCCTGCCTCCCTCCTGATCCAGAGACTCCTGGCAGCCTTGCTTGCCTTTGCCCAGTTCACAGTTTACAGAGCACTTTCACACACAGCATCTCATTTGATCTTCCCAGCATCCTGGCTGGAGGCCAATGAAGGAAGCCAACTCCCAGAAGCTAGGGCAACAAGCTAAGAAGGGGTGCAATGGACCCCACAGAGTGCCCCCGGCTGTCTGGCTCCAGTGCATCACCTGACCATCTTCTCTCCGGAGGGCTCTTAATCTTTCTTGATATAGAGACGGCTGACCTTGCTCCTACAGGAAGCTTTCTTGGACTGAAAGGAGCTGGGCCCATGCAGGCCAACAGTACGGCACGGCAGTAGGTACAGCACTTATTGGGCAGTAAGGTTAAAGTCTGGACTTGCTGCCTGGCCTAGGGAGCTCCATACATCTCTGGGACCTCAGATTGTTGTTCCCAAGTTTCCAAATCAACTTTTCTCCCCCTCCTCCTCAGTTATACTGGAGTCCCCAGGGAAAAGCTCAGATCTCTTTCTCCTTCCTCTCTCTTCCTCCATTGGGACTCCTCACTAGGAGGCCACCCCAGGGGGGCCAGAAACTCGCTTGAATGGGCAAGGACAGAGCTGGCTGCAGATCCAAGGACAGAGGGGGTGCAGGGGCTGTCCCTACACTGTTACCTGGGGAAGTAACCAGAAGCTGGGAGCAGAGACAGGTACTGGTGGGGTGGGTGGGCTGAGGGTTTAAGTGCCTGCCCAGGAGTGGGTGATCAACTGCTTTCAGCTAGGCTTTGACACCATCATAACTGGTGATGAGATCTTGACCTGTTTAGTTTCTGCCATTAAGCCTCAATCTACCTATTTGTCCTTTGAGGTTGAGCCAGGCCACAAAAAGAGAAGCTTTATCGATTCATTCCACATCAATGAATAAATGAAACTAGTAAAACCCTATTATGAAGTGTGTGTACCTTTCTTATTTAATGCTGTTGTCAATCTGTGGGGATAGGTACTAACCTTTCCTTGTGCAGATGAAGAAGCTGAGGCATGAAGGCCATCCTGTCCTGTAAGCAAGCAGTGCCAACCCTATTCTGGCTACAAGGGCATCCTGGAGGACTTCAAATCAGGCACCCCAAACTAGCTAACCCTCCTAGGCCTGGCCGTAGGGACAAAGCAGAGTCCCAGTAAGGCCTGAGATTTGCCCAGGGGCGGGGAAAGAACAGGTCTTAGGACTTGAGAAGGAGAGAGCTTTCTAGCTTTGGGTGTCCTGCGGAGTGTGCAAAAAGGAAGGCTGCCAGGGGAAAGGCTCCACTCAGCCCCAGAATCTTCCCGACCCAGGTGGTGGTGGGCCGGCCCCAAGGTCTCCAGCCCTCCCCTTCTCCTGCTCCTCTGTGCTCCAGGCGGGGTCCGCATCGCCCTCCCCCCCCCCGCCCCCGGTCTAACCCCGCCCCCGGGCGCTCATTGGCCTGCACCCCACCCTCCAGCCTGCGAGGTCCTCGCGGGGAGGCGGTGGTCTGTCGCCTCTCTCCCGCCCCCAGCCTGGCTTCCCAGCGGAGGAGGCGGTGTCTCTCCCGCAGGACAGAGCCCTGCTGGGCGGCCGCGCGGCAGGGGCGGTGAAGCCAGGCAGGGGGCGCCGCGCTCGGTCACCGGTGACTGACGGCGGCGGCTCCGGGCGAGCGCGGTCCCCGCGTGCGCACACGCACACGCCGCCGCGCAGGGACAGACGGACCCCGGCCGCCGGCGGCCACAGGACGCGGAGTCCGGGCTGGGCGCGCGCTCCTCGGCTCGCTTGCTCAGCTGCAGGCGTCTTGGAGACCCCGGCCGCCGCCAGGCCCGCGGTGAGCAGGTAAGGGCAGCCCCGTCGCCCCTGCCCTCCACGCCGGCAGGGCAGCCCAGCGCCAGCTCCAGAACCTTCGTCCAGGGGGGACCTCGGGCGCCCCCCTCCAGTCCTGGGGTCTCCACGCCGCGTCCGCCACGGCCGGAGCTCCCGAGTCCGAAATGAAGCTCTCTCCCGCCGCTGCCGCCGCTTCCTGCGTGTCGCCCCCCCACCTCCCGTGACCAGGGCCCTTGCTTGGGGCGACCGATCCCCCCATCCCTGCAGCCCAGGGAGCTAGGGCCAACCTGTCTTGCGCCTCCCCCGGCGCCGAGAAGGGGCAACCAGGGGATGACACTGACCAGAAGGACCCCAAAGAACCTGTATCCCTTGAGAACGCGTCTGCGCGGGTTTGGAAGGCTACACTAGAGGGTCCCTGGGGGTTAGATGCCGCAGTCTGTACCGGTTTTGAGGGGTGGGCAAAGAATGCGCTTCCGTAGAGGCCACCCTAGAATGACCGACCGACCCTCTATGGATATGCATGAAGGATTGTTCAAAAGAATTAGTCCTTCGGTTTCCCGCGGCGCGAGGGATTGGGTTGGGGATGCCTGAGCTTTGGCTGTCCCGTAAGGAAACGCCCTGTGGGGCCTGTGACAGAAACACGGCCTCCCAGGCCGGCTGAAGTGGGGTCCCTGCCGCCCGCCTTCAAGGCCGGTTCCTGCAGCAGCCGCGAGGTGGTGGTGGTGGTGGTGGTGGGGGGGCATCCTTACTCCTTGCTGGCTGAGAGATGGTAAGGGACCGGGAGCCTCAGGAGGAAGCCCAGCCAGAAGGTGATGGCATTTCACGTGGAGCACTTAGGCTCCTCCTGACAGATACTGGGGTTGGGATTGCGGGGCATAGGGCACTGCTAATTCTTCAGGCCCTTTCTGTTTCAGTGCAGGTGAGTCAGGCTAGCTTTCTTTACCTCCCCCAGCCCTACAGTGTCCTTCAGCTCCCTCCACAACCCCAGCAAAGACAAAAACAAGACATAGCATTTGGCTTTATCTTATGAGCAGCCCTGAGGGTGGGGGCAGGGTGAAGGTTGGAAGGGGCCACACACAGGATATCTAAGGCCACTTGCCCTGGGACTGCCATTGCCCAGAGGCGGACTAGTACCCTGAAGGTCAGGCCAAGGCTTTTGGTGGCCCCAGCCTTCTGAAGAGGATGAGAGGTTGCTTTGGAGCCTGGGGGTGGGGGCAGTCAGGGGCACCAAAGTTTTCTCAGCAAGCCCCTCTCAGGGTCTGGGCTGGGTGCAGGTGTGGCTGGCAGAGGCCCCTGTCCTTAGTAGAGTCGGGGGCTCCGGCTTCTCCCTGACCTTGGAGAGGGCAGGCAGGGGTGCCATTCTGGATGACAATCGAAATTTGAACATACAAATTAGAGACAGAACATAGTGGAGCAGGCCTTGGGCCAGGTCTCCAGCTCATCCATCAACAAGTGTGTGTGTGTGTGTGTGGGGGGGTGACCAGGGAACTGATCCCTGTCTCTTGCCTGTTGTGCCATCAGAGGTGTCTCTCCCGTGTTGAGGTGTCCGAGACAAGACCCTGGCAGTCTGCTCCTGTGTGCAGGGAAGGTGGGTGCCTATAGGCAGCCTCTGAAGGACCTTTTCATGCCTTCTAAGGACCAGGCAGACTATAGCATGTATGAAGATCCTGTTTTGTATAAGGTTCCTTCTGGGGTGGGGGGCTGGGAAACACTTTTCAACCCATCCTTTTCCCCAAGGCACTCCTCTCTGCTGTGCTGCTACTTTGGGACAGCCCCTAATTTCAGTGGGTCTTTACAGATCAGTATATGTGATCAGAGGTGGCTTAGGCTTGACTGTCACAGGTTACTGGCCTTCCAGGGGTGGACACTTCATTGACCAGGGGCTGGCATTGATTAAGTAGAGCCACCAAATGCTGTCTGCCAGAGAGCAGGAACCAAGTGTGCAAAGCGCAGAGTATGAGTTCAGCCCAAGGCCAGGAGGGCCTTGGTTACCTTACAGCCACTAACTAGGGAGCTGACACCTAGGTGACATGAGTTTCCTGTCCTGGGAAGGTCTGTGAGCAGAGGTGTGATGCCCCAGACAGGCACCCACAGTCACCTTGGAATAAAAGAATCTAAGATTCCCCAGTCTGATGGAGTTAGGCCTAGTGGCCCAGCTGCCTGGCAACATGAAGGCTAGAAACTCCTCAGCTATGATGTGTTTGTACCGAGCTCTGGATGCCGTCAGAGGCACTGGTGACAGCCACCCCCACAGTGATACACAGAGAGGGAGTGACACACAGCTGGGGAGGCATGTAGGCTTCCCACGACACCTGCCAGGGATGTGGAACAAAAAAGAGACATGCGATGTCAGAAGGACAAACAGACATTGAGGCATGCCCTGTCACGCGGCTCTGGGCGCATCTGCTTGAAGATCACAAACCTTCCTTAATGATGGTCCGGATGAGTGTGAGTGTGTGTGTGTACACTGAGTCACAGGAGTCTAGGGCAAAGGTTTGTGGGCTTTTTGGTAAATATATTAAATATAAGCTAGACAACTATAGAGGATATGAAAACTAAAACAAGGAGTGGATATGTGGTAGTGAACTTTATTTGTGGATGCTGAATATTTAAATTTCATGCAGTTTCTAGGTGTTATGAAATATGCTACTTCTTTTAATCTTTATTTACCATTTAGAAACGTACAAACCATTCTTGGCTCCCTGGCTGTACAAAAATAGGCAACAGGCTGGATCCAACTGGGTGAAGGGTTTGCCAACTTGAGCTATAAAATTAGGGAAGAGAAAGGGGCAAGAGTCTGAGGAAGGAAGGCGCTTGGTGCCGGAAGCCCAAGATGATGGGCAGCAGCTGGGAGCCTTACTCTGGCCACCCGGGGCTCACAGTGCCTGACCGTTTGATGGGTCAGTTCCAGGAAGGGCACCTGCAGGCTGCAACACTCCACCCCAAAGCGGCCTCCCATTTGTCTGGGAGATACGTCCCCACTCGAGGGACAGTGGGGACATCATCTGTGAAAGACTAACCAAAGTTACTGCAGCTGGCTTGCTTCAGGGAACAGCACCCCGCACTCCACCCCAAGTCCCGGGCTCCCACAGGCTGGCGCTGTCCACCTATTCACGCCTCACCTCCTGGTGTCTTGATAGGTCCCCCAACACTGTGACTCTCCTTCCCAAGCCATCCTGCAGGCACACAGGCGAGCTCTGTGGACATCCCCTCTGTCCTGTGTGTGCCAGGTACCCAGCTGCCTCACACCCGCTCACTGGTGGGCAGCGCAGAGGCAGAGGGGCTCTCTGCCCAGCTGGCCACCACCCCTGTCCTGGGTTACACTAGGTGTGCTCCGGCCCACCAGCAGCACCTGCCGCTCCTTCCATCCCCCATCACTCTTCTCTGTCTTTCTCTATCTCTCTCCACCCGCCCTCCCTCCCTTTCTCCTTTCCTCCTCCTGGCCCCATCTTTTGCTTCCTCCTTTCCTGCTCCTCTAATCTGGCTGAGAGAGGGTTAGTGCACCCTGAGTCTTCCAGGACAGGAGATGTCCCAGTGCTCCCTGGTGTGAAAGGGTGTTCCTCACAGGACAGTTTGGGGAGAAGGACTTTGCAGCTGACCTTGGAGAAGGTCGGCCCCCAGCCCTCTGCAGCCTAGTGGGAGGATATTGCTGACATGTGCGTGTGCTCCAGCGTGCCCCCTTCTCTGCCCACACCCCAAGTCCATGTGAAATGTAGGGTATGGCTGGGGTCTCCCGGAGCAGGCAGGGCCCAAGCACCTCTGAAATGGGAAGGTTTGGACACTAGAGAGGCCAGGAGCATGAACAGGCCCTTTGTCAGCATTGGCCTCACTGTAGAGGAGAGAGGTTGTGGGGAGGCTGCTCCTTCTATGAAGCAGCCTCTGTCACTTTGAGGGGAGTGGGTGAGGGGCCGTGTTTCACCTTTCAGCTTTCCTTCCCCATTTCCCTGCCCAGGGGGGAGAAGAGGAAGTGAGGTGGGGCCTGCTGCAGTCTCCTTCATGCAGGCAACATGTGGAGAGCAGGGTGGATGAGTGATGCTCTTTCTCTGGCTGTCTTCTATCGGGTGTCCACGCTCGGTGCTGCTCTGTGAGGAGGAGGGGAGCTGAGCTGTGGCTCTGATGGTCCTGTGCCTGGGCAGGGCAGATAAGGGACCCAGGGCCGTGTGGCTGGGGGGAGAGGCTGGGGCTGCCCTCTCACCCCTAGTGCTCCCATGGGGCACAGGAAGCTGTGCTGTGCAGGGCTATGGGGAGACGTTGGAGCTTCCCTCTGGGACCCGGGCCGTCTGCCCTGCTGGGTGTTTCAGAGGGCTCTGCTGGAGACAATGGTCACAGGGTCTGCAGGTCCCTCCCACCCTGATGTGGACGGTGGCGGCAGCCGTGAGTCACTGCCTGCTCTGCTTGCTGACTGATGGATGACGTGTCTTCTGTGTGTGGGGCCACAGTGGCTTGGGCCTCGGCTCGCTCGAAGGACGACACAAGTGGTGTTGTCACTTCCCACCCCAGGCATGCACTGGCTCCTGGGGTCTAGGAGGACAGGCCTGCCTCGATGGGAAAGGGAAATGGGGTGCCACTGGGTTCCCCAAACTTCCCTCTAGTTCCGGTATCTGTTTACAAGTCCAATACCCACTGAGGGCTACACACCTGTTAACTATTATTTCCACCTCACCACTTTGTGGTAAGGCTTTTTGTACCCTCTTGCTGTCACTTCCACTCCCAGATCCCTGTGCCACTTTCAGGATGGGAGCAGCAGGCTTGCTGCACCTTTGTCTGCTAATGGTTAACACTTAGTAAACACATAAGTATATGTCAGGGTCTCTTTCAAGCGATAAACATTAACTCCTTTAAGATGCCCAAAACGTGTGAAATAGTTCCTAACACTGTCTTCATTCTACAGCAGAGATTACTAAGGCTCAGAGAGGCTAAGCAACTTCCCCCAAGGCCACACAGCAAGTGCACTGCAAGATAGATCTGGGAAATGAGTCCAAGCTGTGTGGCTTCAAAGCTTGTGCATCCTGGGGCTTCTTCTATTCTCTGTGATAGGTAGAAGGAAGATGGATTCCGAGCCCACTCACAGTGCCCAGTAGCCCTCTTACATCTCTCCTACCATCTGTGGCCAGACCCTCATGAGCACCCTGGAGGATCCCAGATGAGGAGAAAGCCAGGAGGGAGAAAAGGGGGAGCAGCTGACTGGGCTAGGTAGCAGACCCAGGGGACACCTTGGAAGACTCTTCTGGGCCAGAGGAGCCATGCATGTTTCCTGACAGGTGGCCCAAGATTGCAAACTTTGAGTGCTGGCTAGCAGGGGTGAGGATGGGGGCAGAAGAGCCTAGAGCATCCTTGGGGGATTGCTGCCCTGGAGAGACTGTGTGAGGCCCTCTCGGAGGTCCTCAGAGGTGGGTAAAGGGAAGTCAAGGCCCATGGGCTCCAGGTTCTAACTCTCCCTGCTTTTCTGGGGAGTGGCTATGTCCAGTTAGGTAGGATGTGGACTTCAGTAGGGGGAACAAGAGAGGGAAACAGTCAGAGTCAAGTTCCAGAGGAGGTGCCATGCTAAGGGTGCCCAGCTCCCCTGTGCCACTGGGCCAGGGCACACCTTTGCCCTGCTTCTGTGGTTGCTCAAGCACTCTGGTGAAAATGCAGAGAGCTGGGCTGGGCTGGGCTGATACCTTGTCTTGCCCTTGGGCTTTTTCAGTCCTCTGCAGCTGTGCTGGAGGAACTGGCCCACCTAGAGAGGGGAGGGGAGCTCCCTGAGTGCATGGATGTGCATGCATGTGCAGGTGTGTGTTTATCCTGCCTGCATCGGTGTCCGTATCCTCATGGATCTGCATACCTCGGTGTGTCTGATGCCGCTGCAGACTGTGTGTGGGCACTGGCTTGCACACATCCAGACTGGTGAACGCATCTGAACAGCCACAGGCTGTGTGCCTGCCTCTGCATGTGCCTTTGTTCTGTGCCTGTGTGTCTGCTGTCTGTGGAGGAGTGTGTGTATGGAGGTGTCCTGGGGTCCCTGAAAGAATTGCCACCTGTGCGACACGTCCTGGAAGTTTGTATTGATACTTTCAAAAGAAGCCCTGGGGATAAATATTTCTTTGTCTCCATGTGGTTGTGATGCCTTGATGCTCATTTCTTTGGACCTGTTTCTTCCTGTATGAGAGAGAGAGAGAGAGAGAGAGAGAGAAGAAAGCAGCTGGAACCTGCCCTGCCACCATGGCCCATCTGCTGGTGCCTGCCAGCTCCAGCTCGGCACCAGTCCTCATTTCTAATGAAGCATAGACAGCACCTTTATAAGCCTACCTCTCCATGATGTTGCCTGGAGTGCATGAACCAGCACTGGCACTGGCCGCTCTGTGGGAGGTCTTTTTCCCTGGATGTCTTTTGCAAGCTTCACAAGGACTCCAGTGACCAGCAGGTTGAACACTGGGCTCAGAGCTCAGGGCTTGGGGAGGGGGTAGTGATGGGGTGGTCTTGCTGCATCTCAGGGGTGTCCTGAGGATCAGGAGCTGTGTTGTCATGTCTTTGGCCTGAGGTGGTCCAAGATGTGGGAAGGTGACCCTGAGCCCTGATCTCAGAGGTCTTTTGCCTCGAAGTAGCTTCTCTTTCCTCTCAGCTGTCAAGGGAGATGGCCTCTAGCCCAAGTGAAGGCCCTGAGACCTGGCACTCTTTCATCCCAGCCAGGCAGATTGGGAGGCCATCTCTCTGCAGCCAGGGCCTTGGTCTCCCCAGGACTCCTGGAGGTGACTGAACCCTTTGCAGACCATCCATGCAATGCCAGAGGCAATCTGTGGCCACCAGGGGGTGGAGGGCCCTGGGAGGGAGCAGAGACAGAAATCTGAGTGCCAGGCATAGCCCAAGCCTCCTCTCCTGGAGCAGTTCCCTCTGGCCTACAGTAAGGGGTTGGTCCTGCATCACTGCTGCCCTGGCATTCTGAGCCTCTCCAAGATCAGGAAGGGTCTCCAGGTGAGCAGGGCTGGTGGAGAAGAAGGGCTCCCTTTTGGGACGATATCCAGCAGCCATTTTTTTCTCCTTTTCGAGCTTGCTTCACACCAGCTGGAGCTCAGGGAAGCTATGGGGGAGGCCAGAAGAGGTTAAGGCCAGGCAGAGAGCCAGGACAGGGCACGTAGGTGACAGCAGCTCTGTGCACTGGGTGCCTGTGTGAAGCTTAAAGGTTGGGACGCCCAGGGGAGAGCTTGTTCCAGCCCTCACCACCTCCTGAACCAGGCATGCATGCATCAGTGGTGCCCTGACTTGGGGTCCAAACTTTTTAAAAGCAATTAGTAATAATAATAATTTAAAACTAACCCTGTAATTTTGTATGTTCTATTGTATAACTGTGCCAGTACCAGTTTAGCAATGCCCACCTGGTGGCTGCTGTGCTATCCCTTTCCCTGTCACTGATGCTGTTCTAAATGCTGTTGTGATGAACAGCTTTGCACATGCTTCTTTTTGTCTGAATGCAAGTGCTTCCCAGCTAGGGAGTCACCTCACTGCTCACCATGGGCTGCAAGGTGTTTGTATTCAGGATCAGTTTCAGGAGCAGAGTGCACTCTTCTGCTGAGGAGCTGGGCTCCTGGGTCACCTCTTTCAACTCTCTGCAACCTGTCTGGTCCCTTCTAGGGCCTGGTCTTGTGTGCCTGTCTCTGGGAACCTCTGCTGCTCTCAGGCTTGAGCACATAGTCCCTGTTTTCTATCACTTTATCCTGAGAGCAAAGTGGGATGAAGTAGGACAAAAGAAGTGTGCATCTGTTAGGGTGATTGGGACCAAGAGACACTTTAAGAGGGAGTGAGCTGGATGGAAGTTCATGTCTCGCTCATGAAGATCTAGAGTGAGGTGGGGCACTCAGGCCAGAGAGGTGTGTCTGTGCCACAAGACCACTCAGTGACACTGGCTCCTTTCGGAGTGGTGCTCCCCACCCTCTCAGCTGGTGTCTTTGTTTACATTGGCAAAGCTGGCTGCAGCCGTTTAGGGAAGGATGGCCAGCATGCCATGCCTGTGTAGACCATGGCTGTATTTGAGGCTCACATAGCTGCCAGCCAGTATGATCACATGCTCACACCTGAGCATAGGGAGAGCAGGAAATATCATTTCTAGGTGGGCATGCATGTACCAGCCACAACATCCCTGTGAAGGAAGGGGAGAATGCCAAGATTTGGGGTGACAGCTTGTCTGCATTCAGGGACAAAGCCCTTGCCAACCATTGCAGTAGCTGATGGGCTGAGCCATTGTGGTCACTGTGTCCTCACAGCCTGGGGCAGACTGGGGACTCAGCAATCTGTGGGACAGGAGGGTAAAGATAGATGGGCCTGGGCATGGAGGAGATTCGTCCTTGGAGGCTGGGAGCTAATGACTCACAGGATCTTGCTTTTGTTTCCTCTATAGCCTGTGGACACCTTGGGGCTACCGGGCACTGCCAGGACAGGAGGCCAGCTGTGCTGGCTGAGAAGCACCATGGCTGGCACCCTGCAGGTCCCCCTGGCTGCTGTCCTCCTGCTGCCTGTGGTAAGGGCCCAGGACCCTCCCCTCTACAACTCTTCTGGAGCCCAGCCTCATCTAGCCACCATCCCGGAGAACTAGTGCTTTCAACCAAGCCATTCAGGGGCTGGTAGCTCTGTCAACAGCCCCATGGGACCAGCCAGTGCCTTCTTGTGAAATAGAGATGCCCCCTTTCCTCTTGATTGATTGGACAGCAAATTATAATACAGTTCCCTCCCTCCTTCCCTCTTTCCCTCTCTCTTTTCCTCCTTCCCTCTTTCCTTGTCTTTCTCTTCTTTTTCTTTCAGATTAAACCCAGGGCCTTCCCACTGTGCTACATCCCCAGCCCTTTTAACATTTTTATTTTATTTTTATATTGATATAGGGTCCTGCTAAGTTGAGATCCAGAGGGCTGGGATTACAGGCATGCTCCACCAAAGCTGGCTCACAGCTTTCAAATCTATTGCAGTGGTGTCATGTGTGGCAACTTGTAGAGTTGTACAGTATATAACCTGCTCAGCTTTGTGCAGAGACTTTGGTTAGGGCAATCTTCTAGTCCTCTCAGTCTGTGAGTCCCTGTCAGATTTGAGCTCAGAACTTTACCCACTTCTCATATCTCCCCCGAGCAAGGGCGAGAATAGAGAGCAGGAAGAAGAGGATTCCAGGATTGGCCCCACCACTCCCTCTGGAAGTTTGGACTGGCAATGAGTGAGGCTGTCTTCAGAATCCTGAGTGTCAGTTCTGCCTCTGTCCCACCTACCTGTGTGACAGATGAGTCTATCCCCCTTCGGGGAGCTGCCTGCAAAGCTGTGAGCAGCTCGGATTGGATGGATCCTGAACATGGCCCATGACAGCTCATATGCCTTGTGACTGTCGCGTACTCACTGATGGTCCCCTAGTGAACCATCCCTGCTCTGGGGATTTGAGTTAAAGTGACAGCATTCATAGGCAGCTGTCATGATAGTAATGCACTGCTATGAAGTCACTTGGTCTTGAGCTAGAATCTGTGTCTGCCACTAACTGGCTGTGTGACTTTGGGCTGCAGTTTCTTCTTTGAGCCTCAGTTTCCCCTTCTGTAAATTAGAGTGGCCTCACTGAAGGCCAGCTCTGCTCCTTCACCTGCTGCAGCTGGGGGTGCACCTCATTCCTAGCTGAGCCCCCAGACGGGAGAGACAACGATCTTCACAGCCCCTCCCCTCCCCATTGCTTGCTTGCTCCTGTAGACGCCTGGGTTCAGAGCTGGCTGTACAGTCTGCTGAGCCAGGTGACTTTCAGCAAGTTACTTAAAGTCTGTACCTGTTTCCATGTCTGTAAAATGGAAAATGATAATGAATAGCATCCATAGTACTCTTGAGAAATATACATACATAAAAACATTTGCGTGTATGACATTCAGAATAATGCCTACATCTAGCAAAGTGCTATATGTGTTTGCTGATATTATTATAAGTTATCGAAACTGAGGCCTGGGGAGAGAGTGGAACTTTCCAAGGGTATTCACTGAGTTGATGACGGATGAGAGTCCTCATGTTATCTATGATGCCAAGCTGCGAGCTGGCCCTGGAATCTCCCTGTCACTCTCCTCTTCTTCTTTCTGTCCCAAGCTCCTTCCCCCTATCACGGTAGAGTTTAGGCAGGAGGGCCTCTAGTGGATCTCCCGGCCTCCTCCCACCATCCATCCCATATATCCCTTGCAGGTTGCTGCCATGCACTCTGACTGCATCTTCAAGAAGGAGCAAGCCTTGTGCCTGAAGAAGATCCAGAGTGCCTACGACCTTCTGGGCTTGAACGATTCCTCTCTGGGTGAGTGGAGTGGCAGGGAAAGCACAGTTTCCCCAGCACTTTCAGGTCAATCTTTAGAAGCAGTTTCCTCACCTCCAGTTCACCTTGCAGAGAGTGATGGAGGGCACATGTCTCTGGGGCTTCTGCAAACCCTTGAGGGTGCTATCCTGCATCCTCTCTGGGTAGTGACAGTGGGATTGCCCTGCTTGGGACCAGTTTGCCCTGGTGGCTCAGTGCTGTTCTTTGGCCACCTTCTCTCCGGTGGGGTCCTGGATAGAGCTGGTGCCTGGCCTGGCCAGTGGCTGTTAGAGAACTTGCTAACAGGTTACCAGGGCCCAGTGGCAGCAGGGAGCCAGCTGTTGCCCATGGCTGAGTGGTGGAGCCCCTGGCCTGCCCAGTGCAGAGCTGTGGGCTCATTTCCTCTCTTCTCCACTCATCCTATCAGCCAAGGGGAAAGGCAGCAGGCGCCTCCATCACAAAGACTGTCCGTGTGGGGCTTCCCCTGGGAGCAGTGAGCATTTGGGGAGGGACACCATGGCCTGTGCTGGATGGGGACACACAGTGCAGAACATTTAGCATCCTTTGCTTCTCCTCTCAAATGCTCATAACACCCCAGATCCCAAAGATAAACAAGAACTGTCTCCCAACATTCCACAGGTTCCAAGGGAGTGGCTCAGCTCTGGTGAGACCTTGTGGTCCTAGGTAACCTTTCTCCCAACTCCTTGCTATGGGACTGGGTCCCCAAGGCACACAGAAGCCATGGTGCCCTCTGCTTCCAGCCTGAGGGGCAGTTGGGGCTAGAAGTGGCATCCTGGAGGCCACCCTCTCCTGGCTCTCACCTCCTTGCTGAAGGGCTGGCTCTGTGTCCCTGAGGGTGGGGCTGCTGCTCAGGCCAGAGGGATGCACTTCTCCCTCTGCACCTGCCCAGCTCTTCTGAGCACCATCTGCTTGAAGACTTTATTAATCTGTCCAGTTAAATGCAGTGGTCCCGCTGGACTGAGCTCAGCAGCCAGCTGCTTCTGGGTGAAGACGGGGAAGAAAACAGTTCTGGCTATGCCAGCCTTTCCTGCTGGCTGTGCACTTGCTAAGGTGGAAAGTGAACTCCAGGCCCCACCAACTAGGGAAACCGAGGCAGAGGCCCAGGTGGTGCATAGCCCTAGGAAACCCAGAGTATCTGAGGACTCTCTGGTCCAAGTCACTTGTTTGGGAAGCAAGGTGTCGAGGTCAGTGCCTGTTAGACCGTCTGAGGGTTCTGGTCCCCAGGTGTCTTGTCTCATGTCCCAGGGTGCAACAAAGAGGCATCCAGGAGGGAAACGAGAGGTGGGGTAGGATCGGGCAGGAACCTCAGGTGGGCTGTGTGCGGTTCGGCCCCCTAATTCCAAATATTGAGCCCCAGTTGAGGACAGAGCAGGCTTGCCCACAGGGATGGCCTGGCTGAAGTGAGAGCTGGATGTGAGGATGGACACCGTCCTTGGAGGGCAGGCCAGTGCTGGGAGGGAGGCTTACCCAGGTGTGCTCTGGGAGGAGGATGGGGAAGACCTAGTGGAGAAGGTGGCCTGGAGACCCACTCCTTGAGCCTGGCATGGTGGTACACACTATAACCTCAATACTCTGGAAGCCTGCAACAGGAAGATCTCAAGCTCAGCATGGCCACCTTAGTGAATCAGTGAAACCATGTCTCAAAAAATAAAAAGGTCTGGGGAAGTACTCAGTGCAGAGGCCCTGGCTTCATTTCCCAGGACTGCGTAAAAAAAATTAACTGGCTCCCAGGCTCTTGGGCTTGGGTACACATCAGACCTGCCAGGGCAGCTTGTGGAGCATGCTCAGGCCACAGTCCAAGCTGACTGTTTGTCACAGGCACTGTAACATTGAAAAGCTCCACAGGGTTCTAGTGAGAAGCAGAAGGTGAAGATCCCTATGCTGGGCCCAAGGGACAGGCAGGGGTGTGGTGCAGGTGACTGGAGGGATGGATGGGAGGACACTCCAGGCCAAGAAATACACAGGAACAAGAGGCCAGGAGGCAGGAGTCTGATCTCTGGAGCACAGAGGAACCCCGTCTGAAGGCCTGGGAGGCCATGAGTGGGTAGGGGAAGCTGGGCAGGAGCAGGATCTGTGCGTTTCCTGCTGGCCACGCGTCACTCCTAAACCCTGAACCTTGGTGGTGGACCCAAAGCTTGTGGAAGGAACTCACTCATCCACTGCTCATTCATTCATTCATTCCTTCACCCACCCATCCCCTCCTCCATTCATGTCTGCCCTTATCCCCTCACTCTCTCCTTCTGTCTGTGTGCTGGACTCCAGAGTGTCTCCTCTGGCTGGCTGGTTGGCAGAGGGCAAGGCGAGGGCAGGGCATGCAGAGCCACCTGTGCTCACTCTGGGACCTATTTGCAGTGGGGAGGGGTGGCGCCCAGGCTGGGGGATGAAGTGGGAGAGAGAGCAAGAGCTTTCAGTAGGCAGGGTGAGTGCAGGTAGTTAGCCAGCAGGGGGCACTGCTGGGAGGAAGCATTCGGGTTGGCCCTGGAGGAGTGCAGAACAAAGGATTCTCAGGAACTGAAGGGAGAGCTCTCCTCTATCCTTCCAGATGGGAGAAGAGCCTTTGCCCTCCTGAGTCTGTCTGAGGAGAAGGTCTCATCTCTCTACTCTACCCTCCTGGAGTCAGAAGGTACGTTTCCATAAGACAGGGCTGAGAGTGAATTAAGCAGAAGCAAAGAGCCGAGCCGTCATTAGGTAGGAGAGGAGACTGAGGACCCAGCTGGACACCAAGTCTGTGGCTCTTCCCTGCTCTGGGCCGTAAGATCTCTTTTAAAGGGGTGGAGGTTTGGAATAGACCCTGGTCAGTACTTATATAGACTCCCTTGTGCCAGGCACTGTGCTGGTGCTCTACTCAACCACTATAACCCAGGGGCACTGGGTCTGTTACCATCCTTATTTTGTAGATGAGGAAACTGAGGCACAACAAGGTTATGTACCTTGCTTAAGGACACAGTGCATTAAGAGGCAGAGGAGAAATTTGAACTCAGCCTGAGCTCCAACCACTGGAATACACTGCCTTAAAGGAACAAGGTGCTCTGAGTCCCTGCAACCCACCCCCACCCCCACTGCTGTCACTAGCAGTGGGGCCTTTGGAGAGCACTTTACACCTTCATTTTCTAGCCTGCAAAATGGAGGACAAATACACTATGAGATCATTGCATTAAGTGATTCAATCTGTGGTTTGTGCAAAGGACAGTGAGTGGGGTTTACTAAGTACTCTGCAGCGACTGCAGTTGTTGCCCAGGGTCGTCTCACAGAGCCAACTCTCTCCAGGGCTGTATGTCTTCAACTAGATCTGAGTTCTTCTGGGGAGTGTAGACCTTGCTAGGCCAAGGGTCAGTCCCTGTGGACCTGTATGGAAAGGCCTTCTGGAAGAGCAGGTGAGGGCCAGGAGAGCAGATCTGGGCTCCAGAGGGCAGATGAGGGCCCAGGAAGGAGGCAGAGCAAGTCAGGGTGTGGATGGCCTGAAAGTGAGGTGCAGGTGCATCTGCACTGTTCCAGAGTCCCGTTCTACGCACTGCTCGGCACTGCAGCTCAGGAGGAGCGAGGAGATGCCCTTCCCTCGGCTGTCCTCATCACTGGAGGGAAAGGTCAGACAGTGACAGCGGAGGATGTGGAAAGGAGGCTGGGGAGAAGAGCCAGAGAGGAGGGCCTTGAGTGTGTGCCCAGAGGCCCGAGCTGACCTCTTAACTGAGCAGAGGCTGAGGGGTGTTTGTTTTGTAAGGGCTCAGATAGCAGGTCTGTCTCACATGGCTTTGCCCATGACCTGCTGAAGTTTCTTTACTCCCAGGAACTCAGATCAAGTAGGAGACAGACAGGCAGCCGTGGAGACCCTCAGCACTGACCTGATGGGGAGGGAGGGGGCAGGGCAGGGAAGGCCATGGGCTTATGGTCTGCAGGCTCCTCTTGCAGGCTGAGGTGGGAGGACCCTCCTCACCTGTAGGAGGTACTTTTTCAGGGCTCGGGTGGTAGGACATTATTATCCCACTCTCAGCTGTTATGGGAGGCCTGAATTTCCCCTTGCACCCCACTTGAGCCTCAGTTGGGCCTCTTGGCTACAGATTAAACCCACTTGTGAAGTGCAGGCAGTGACCCAGCTCATTGCACTGAAGCCCGTGGAAACATTGCAAGATGCCCGTGTCTAGGCCCCCTTCCCAGCCTAAGGTCTCCAGTATCTGGGTGGGGCTCCAAGCAGGTCTATGTTAAAAGCCTATAGATGATTCTAAAGTGCATCCCGGTTTCAGAACCTCTGGTGTGGCAGAGAACATCACCTGCTAGGGCCCCACAAGATCTCAGGACTGAGAGCAGCCCCCATAGCACAGGTAAGCCAGGCTGGGAACCTCACTCCTGGCCACCATCAAACCTAGGAGCAACAGAGATTGACCGGTGCTTTATGACCTTAACCTGTGCTCAGAGTGAGCTGGGAAAGGCCAGCCCTGCTGCCACATTTCTCTCCCCTCCCCTGCCAGTGCTGTCCCTGAACACACACCTGCACAGGTGCTGGCCATAGGGCAGCAATGTCCCTGAAATACACTTGAACATGAACAAAGGAAGCCCTCAACAGTTTATTCCATGGCTTATAGGTATGAACTCACAGCAGTGCTTTTACACACACACACACACACACACACACACACACACTCATTCCTTACTTAATGATAGAAATGTCTTCTGAGAACTGTGTCCCTGGACATTTCCTTGTATGAACTTGAGAACGCACTTACACAAACTAGATGATCGATCACTGGATGCGGCCTCCTGATGCAATCAAGAACACTGTAAACTCAAGATGTAGGAGGCTGCACACATGGCAGTCTCTGGTAAAGTATACCTTTTATGTATAAGGAGAAGAAAGGTCTAGAATAATGATAAAAAGTGCAGTAAACACCTAAACTAGTAACACAGTGGTTTATTTTCATGTTCAGTGTTCTGTATGTAGTTGTGCACTCTACGCTTTTACACTACTAGCAGCACAGTAGGTTTGTTTAAGGCAGCATCACCACAAACGTGAGTGAGTTTCGCAACACATTGTAGTGGCTATGGCATCTCTGGGTGACAGGAGTTTTTCAGCCCATTATAATCTCATGGAACCACCATGGGGTATGTAGTTGGTCCTGGACAGAAACATCATTCTGTAGTACATGGCTGAATATAGCTTTTTTGTATTTTTACATATTTATGCATAAATATGTGTATATAAATGTTTTATATTTCTATGCACACCTACGTATAGTGTGTCCTCACACTCTCTTAAATCTAAGAAAGTGAGTTCAGGAATAGGAACCTTGGTTGTTTAGTGGTGAAGGGTGTGTGTGGCCCTGTGTATGAGTCCCTCAGATCCCAGGTCCTTGTTGGTCTAGAAACAGCATGGGGTGGTCATGCATATGGTGGCCTCCGTGGCAGAAGCCCCTGGAGCTCAGCAGGCAGCTGTGAGGAGTGAACACTACTGGCCAGAGAAGTGCTCCTTCATAGGGTCCTGCATTGAGGAGATGGAAGAAAGAGGCCTGTGGGTGGCCATGGCAAAAGCAGGAGAGAGATTTGGAGGGCAGATGGGAAAGCCTGCTATTGCTGTGTTGAGCCATCCTCTGAGGCCTTTCTGGGACCTCAAGCAGATCTCTGCGCCTTCACCGTAAATGGAGAGGCCTCGAGGAGGCTGGGCTTCCCAGAGGCTCAGGGGCTGACCAGGAACCAGGCTGGGTACAGGGACTCTTGCTCTGAGGAACTGATTCCTTGTAGGGCTTGATGCCAGTCTTACGAAGGGCTCCACTCCCACTCCATTTCAAACCCAAGCATGTCATACTCTCCTTTAGGGCCTGTTAAAATGCAGATTGTTGGCCCCTACTCTGAGTTTCTGCTTCCTTGGCTCAGGTTGGTCCTGAGGATCTGCATTTTTGGCAGGTTCACAGTGACCTTGCTGGCCTGAGGTCCACACTTTGAGCACAGCTGACTTCCAGAGGAGAGGGCTGTGTCTTGATCCTGCTCCTCCCCTCCAGCATGTACCACATGAAGATCCTCCTTTTGTGGAACAGAAATCCTAGCTGTGAAGTAGATATTAGTAAATTGAATCCTTTTTGCCTGAATTGTGTGCTCTAATGGATCCCTCATCCTGATAATATCTGACCATCCTGGGTTGGCTTTCCAGAGGGAAGAACATAGCTTTGTCTGTTGCCCTGGTGTTCCTGGTTTTAAAAGTTTTGAACATTGTGTGGAGCTGGACAAAATTATCACCATGACAACCTGAGATTAGCTCCTCATTTTGTTCCAGTTCGAGGCTAATAGCTCTTGCACTCTCTCTTGGTTCGACCTGCCTAAGTGGACTCCGTCTCTCTTGCTGTCGTGATTTGCTGCCACTCCTTGACTACTTTGTGTAGATGGCCTAGATGGGAACAGCCCCAGAGAACATGCAGCCAGTGCTCCCAGGATTTGCAGTGTCCAAACTCCTTGGACCAACTTCTTTGGTGCTAGGAGGGTCTGGGGCACAGCTGGGGTAGAATCAGGGGGACTCTTCTGATTTATGGCCTTCTCTGATGGACAGAGGGGAGGAGGGGAACTTGGTGTTGGTTGCATGTGACCATCTCTTCCCTGAAGCAAGCTTCCTGGCTGCTGTGTCACTAGCATGTCCTGGGTTTCTTCCTCAGTTTCCTTGCTAGCTCCTCTTCTCAGTGTTGGCATTCTGTTTTCTCTTGGGGCCAGGCCCATTCTCTCTTCTTTCTTCCCTGAGCCCCCCTTCCTTGCTGGACGAAACATCCAGGTCTGTGGCCTAAATATCATTCCTGCTGACCTCTTCCCATCCTCATCTCCAGGCTGATTTCTCCTCTGGATCCTGGACTTTTATCTAATTGCCCATGTGACAGCTGTCTTCACTAGGCTCTTAGCACACTTTCAAACCCATATTTCCTAAAATCTTGACTTCCAACTTTCCTGATCCCCCCACTACTTGCTTTTTACCCCACTCTTCCCAGTGTAGTAAGTAGCTATCCATCCATCTATCCATCCATCCATCCATCCATCCATCCATCCACTCAACCCAGAAACTTGATGACGTCTCATAGTATCTCCCCTCAGCTGTACAAGTAGGATGGCCTAGACTCTGCTGCAGTGACAAATTAACCTTAAAATCATAGAGACTTAGCTCATGCATTTCCTGCTTGCACACGTCACAGGCCAGTTTGGTCAGCAGAGATGGGAGGTGGAGCCTGGCTTTGCAGTCCTTCAGGAATCCAGGCCCCTTCCACCTGGAAACACTGCCACTCTGAACATGCGGCCTCCACTTGTGTCTTCCAGGGGTGCTGAGAGGAGGAAGACAGAGACAGCAGACGCCTGTGAAGGATGTTTTATAGACTAGTTTGTCACTTCCACTCACTTACCATGGGGCTTGATGATAAGTCACATCAGATACAGGAACATATGGTCTTGAGCACCCTTGCCAGATATGTCTAGCCATTCTGTCACCAAGCCCTGTTATTCCTGCATCCAAATCGCCCTGCACAGGGCTCCTCTCCATCTCACCTGCCATCACTCCAAATAAAGCCCCTCAGTGTGTACCCCAGACCCCTGCCATGTCCTGTCCTGACAGTTCTCCATGTCTGCTTTTCTGCTCTTCAAATGTGCTCTCTCTGCACCAGGAAATCAGATCATGTTGATCCCTGTCTGAACCCCATTGTGAGACGAGGTCCCCCACAGCTGCCCAGAGATACATGCTCACATTCCAATCTTCAAAACCTGTGAAGGTATGACCTTACCTGGCCCAGGGAACTTTGCTTGTACAATTAAGTATTTTGAGAAGGGAAGATTATCCTGGGTTATTTGGGTGGACACTATATAATCATGAGAGTGATTATAAGTGACAGAAGATAGGAGAGTCAGAGAAGGAGAGAAGTTTGTAGATTCTAAGCTGCTGGCTTTGAAGGTGGGCGATGAGTCCATGAGCCAAGGAACTTGGGCAGCCCCTTGAAAGGTGAGGAAAAGCATTGTTCTCTGGGATCTCCAGCCTCTCCTTGATGACTTTAGTCCAGTGAGACTCATCTCAGATTTCTGCCCTCCAAACTGTGAGATGATAATTTGTGCCATTTAAAGACACTAAGTTTGCTCACAAGCTTCTAACAGCAATAGGAAACAAATATATCACCGGCTTCTCATAGGGTTCAGCATAACATCCAAAATCATTAGCATGATCCAGGTTTTGAGCTCTGTGAGGCAGAGATGGGCCCATTCTCTTCACTCCTGTATTGCCCTGCAGTGTCTGACTCATTCTTCTTGACTTAATATGTGAATAAGTGAGTGAGTGAGGGGGTGGGAAGAAGGAAAGGGAGGAGAAAGGAGGTAAAAAGGAGAAGGATAGGGAGGAGAAAGAGGAAGAGGAAGAGGAGGAGGGGGAGGACAGGCCTCTTCAAGTCTTCCAGTCCCAACGAAACTGTGCTGAGCCCAGAGTGTGCCTGGGTGGGGACGGCAAAGCTGATGTAGTCTGTGTGAGGGGTAGGGACAAAGTTACTGTCCCAGCTAGAAAAACCCAAGGCCCTCTCAAGAGCCCACCTCCTGTCCTCACAAGCTCCGGGGCTGATTGGGTCAAGGTTGTCCCTTAAACCTGGACATTGGGATTTGGGCCCTGGGGTCATGGGATCTCATTCCAGGGCCCCACCTTCTTGGGTGCTCCTAGGACTCTAGAGGGCACCTGGGCTAGGGACAGAAGGAGGCACAGAAGGGCTTTAAGAGCTGTGGCAAGTAAATCCTTAGTGTTCCCAGGCCACAGGGTGAGGTGAGAGAGTGAGTAGAAGGCAGCCTTAGCTGCCCTGAGACATCTGCAAGTCCCATGGATTCTCTGTTCCACATTTGAGCTCTGGTCCCCCAAAGCAGGGCATACCCAGAGCCCCCTGGCCTTGCTGTGCACACCAGGAATGTGACGTGTGTTGGAGGAGACCAGCACACAAGTCCCCAGGGCTTCCAGTGCAGATGCTGAGGGGAGACTCTGCCCTTTCACTTCGGTCTTCTTTCTAATGTAAACCTCACAGCTTAGTCAGTTTTCTCCAACCCTGTAGCCCTGGTGCCCGGCTGGGCCCTAGCACATGGCAGGTGTTCTCTATGCCACTATGAAGAGAATGCACCCCACACCCTGCTGACCTTCAACCCAGGAGCACCTCACATCAACCTTTCTGAGTCCTGCACCCCTCCTGTCCGCCATTCCTGCTCGGGCTCTCTGAAGTGGCCCTCTGACCTCAGCAGAGTCAGCTGGCAGTAGCAGCTGGCTATGCCAGGGGCTAATGTTCTGCATTACAGGAACCTCTGTTGGCTGGGGCTCCCAGGGCCTGGGCCAGACACAGCCACACTCCATAGCCAGTCCGAGGTCAGCATGGGTGGTGGCAGCCAGAGATATGCTGCTGGGTCTCTTTCAAGGACAAGGTGTCATAGCCGACTGCACGCTGGCAAGAGGTCCTGCTGTAATGGTAGACAGGACTCATCTGTCGTGCCCACTGCTAAGATCTGGGCCAGGCCCCCTCATCTGGCCCCCATGTCCTTGTGCTGTGCTGTCCTTGCTGGTGCTTACAGCTCCCAAACTCCGTTCATGAGCAGGATTCCACTGGCCATTGTCACCGCATGGTATGTTGTAAATTCTGAGAATTGGAGTTTTCTGCATCCAAAACCTGCAAATGCCTTCTGGTCTGCACAGCACCCAAAAGTCATGGACCATGACAGAGAGACCATGGCCTCATGAGACCTGCACCAGGCCTCCCCCTCTGCCTGCCATCTCCCAGGTGTCCTCTGGGACCTCTCAGTGGCCAGCCATCAAGCTTTCATGTCACCTTGTGGTCTCTGCAGCACCACCCTAATGGGTGGCCTCCCTCCGGGGAGTGATTCCTAGGGACACCTCATTAAAATAATGACAGTAATGCTAATGACAGCGGTGGACATGCACAGCGTGAGCCTGGTTATGTTCTGGGAACTTTCCACGTAAGCTCTAATTAATCTTCCCAGCAGGCTGGGAGATGGGACGCCGTGGTCACCTGCTTCCCATGTGACACAGAGGCCCTCTCTGCAGTCCATTTTTATAGACCACTCTGAGGATTTGGATCTGAAACTCCCTAACACTCCCCCTTCTTCCTCCCTCACTGCACCTTTGCCCCAATTTCTCAACGACATCTCTATACATTCCTCTCTGTTTAGTCTGTAAAGGTGGGGGTTCCCAGGACTCCCTCTTCCACTGTCTTTTCACTCTGCGCCCTGTCCCTGAGTGAACTCTCCCGCCACTCCCCTGGGCTAGAGTGAAAAGGAGGAGTGGTGTAGGCTGGGTAGTGAGCAGGTGCTGAAGTACCCTTGTTAAGGTGCCATGCCAAGTAATCGGGGTGCTAAGACAATGAAAGCTCTTAGTTGTGGTCAGGTATATGACCCAGCACATACTCCTTTTGAAAAGTTAGGGTCCTAAGGTGAGTGGACTGGCGGGAGGAGACCTCTGAGGGGGCTATAACTACTGTCCCAGTAAAGGGGAATGGATTCTACAAATATCTGGAGGGTGAACCAGCAGAGCTGGATGTGGAGCATGGAGGAGAAGGTGGTGGAGCAAGGGTGGCCTGGGCTTCTAGCTAGGCTGAGGCAGCTGCTGCATTTGAACTGTCTTGGGTCCCTCAAGGCAGGGATGTCTAGAGGTCACTGGCAATATGCTCAGCCCTGAGGAAGGGCTGGGAACTGAGGACTGTGGCCTCAGGTAGCTCTGCTAACTCATCCAAGCTGGCCCAGGGCAGGGCAGCCACGTGCATCTCCGTTCCCTCAGTGGGGCAGGCAGAAGCCAGCATGGCTGAAATTGCTCCTTGGACTTGGCAGCAAAGAAGCCACTGTTGACCTTGATGAGAATTGGTTCCATGAGGAGGAAGGACAGCTGGATGAACAGGGGGCTGGCAGCAGCCAGAAGGAGCGAGTGCATAGCAGATAGAGGAATCAAGGGGTCACTGAGCCCCCAGATCTGAATATTTGCGCATCAAGCTTGGCATCTTCCTCTTCCTCACAGCTCAGGTCCAGGAAGTCATCAAATCCAAATGAATCTCAAAGCCTCTCAGTGCATTCTTCCCTTCCTCTCCCTCAGCTCGATCCCTGGGACACTGAGCTGGCCTTCTTAGTGGTCTCTGCCACCCCATGTCCTTTCACAGTTCCAGACTTGGCAGCACAGGCTTCCCTGGATGGCTTCCTCTCTTCCCATCCGATGGATTTGTGGTCCTCCTCCAAGTGCCAGCACTGTACCAACTGCTTGCTCCAGGCAGCAGCCTTAGGGCAACCAGTCCCAGCCCTGTCCCTATCCAGGGAGGGGAGAAGCCAGCTGAGGAGATGGATCTGAGGCCAGACTGAGTGGAGGTGATGGAGGCCACTGGGAGAGAGGGAGAAGAGGAGAGGAGCTGAGGCACGGTGGGTGGAGGGAATCCATGGCATCTCACTCTCAGGGATCCTGCCCTGGCTGAGTGTTTCTGCCCTCCCCACGGTCCCAGAGCAGCCACTGTAAAATCAGGTGAGGCTCCCTCCCTAACCTAGTGCTATCTGCAGTGGCTTGTGCCTACCTTCTCTTTGAGGGACCTGGATGTATGGGAGTGAGCCTCCCTCAGACAAGAAGCCTTGCCTTCCCTCCTCGTGAAACATTCTGGCCTCTGGAGGGGGCTGGCATGTGTGGTTCGCAGTGTGTGTCATGTGTAGTTTCTGTGTGGAGCCAGGCCCCGTGCTCACCATGGTTCTCTTCCCCCCAGGGTGCCCCGGCATGTGGGACAACATCACATGCTGGAAGCCGGCCCGTGTGGGTGAGGTTGTTGAGGTCAGCTGCCCTGAACTCTTCCAGATCTTCAACCCAGACCAAGGTGGGTATAGCCCAGAACCGGTACAGGGCATGCTGGTCTAGCCTGTTGTCTTCCCAGGAGCCAGGGACCAAGGATCAGGCTGCTCCATGGGTGGGCACCTAGTCCCTTTTCCTGAGCTGCTTGCTGGTGTAGGGGGTGACATCACCGACCATTCCACTTGTGTATGGGCACGGCGTTGCTCTGACCTGACACCTAGTGCCTGGTGCTCCAGGATGGGGGCAGGCTGGGCTCCCAGGCCAGCGTTGATCCCCGCTCTATCACTTTCCTTCCTAGGGACCTGGAGCAAGGTAGTTATCTCTTCCACCCAAGTCCCTGGTCCGTCAGATGGAAATGTAGCTTGGTGGTTCCCTCCCGGGGTGTCTGTGAGGATAACATGAGGTCATGTGTATAAATGTCACTTCGCTTAGGATTTGGCACATTTTGAGTGGCCGGTAGTAAACATCAGCTAACATTTCAGCAGTGTCACAGAGTTTCTCAGAGGCCCAAGGAACACATGGATGGGGCATGGAATTAGACACTCTCAGGCAGAACAGAAGTGTGAGTGCAGCCACTATCCAGTGCTCACCCACATCCATGTTCACAAACCTCGTGATGTGGGCACAGAGCCCAGGCTGCACAGTGGCTGGCACATCTGTTTGCTACTTAAACTGTAAGGGCACAGGAGAGGAGGAGTGGGGGCCTATGCACTCAGGCTCCTGGGCTTCCGCTGGACTCACAGGAACCAGTGTTGTCCACAGCTTGCAGAGGTTGGCTGGGGGGCAGGTGTATGATGGCGCCCTCCCTGCCAGGGAGAGCTGGGCGAGTGGGCTTCAGAAGGAGCTGTGTTGGGCCTGTCTGTGTTCAAGATCTGTGGGGGCCATTGAAGTGCTATGGAGAGATCCAGCGGTCCCATCTAGGAGCCTGTGGGGCAGGCAGCATGGCTGAGGTCTGTGATACAGGAATGAGGGTGTGGGCTTAGCCAGAAAAGACTAAGCAAAAAAAAAAAAAAAAATGCTCTGCCTATAGGCATGAAGCCCTTAGGGTCCCACTTAGGCTGGGGGGTGGGGGAAACAGAGCCATGTCTTGACCAAAAGGCAGAGGCAAACTGGCTTTCAGACCCTAAACTCCAACAACTTTGCCACCACCCAAGGTGGAGGCTTAGAGGTGGCACATTGACAGATAGTAGCATGGTTGGGGTCCCAGGCTCCTGTTTGTGGCCCCAGTCCCAAGACTAGGGAAGGTAGATAAACCACATACCCAGCTTGGCTCCTCCCCGCATCCCTCCCACCTCCAGGTCTCCTGGCAGCATGGAAGGAGGGAAGCAGCTGAGGTCTCCCATCCTAAGGGCTTCCAGGCTAGGAAGGACCTAGAGCAGGCCTGAGGGGATTCAGAAGTGGAGGCTGGGAGCACTGCAGTGAGAGTTACAGTTAGTGCTCCCCCTCCTCAGGCACAGTTGGTGGTCTGTGATTCAGCCTGATTCCTCATTCATCCCTTTAGAAACCAACTTAATCACTTCCTCCATGAGTGTATTGCTTTCATTCAGTCATTTATTTAGAGTTTATTGAACATCTACTCTAGGTCAGATTCCAGGCAAAAACAATTTCTTCCAACAACAGCAGCCACAAAGGCAAAATGAATCAACAGTAAAGGAGATTTCCGTAAGCTCCACTTTGCTCCAGCCTCCTCCTTCTGGCAGAGGCCCCAGGAATGTGCTATTTACACCTGGTTCTTAGCGGCTCATTAGGGCAGGGCCTCCTAGCACCTCTGTTCACAAGGCTTGATGGGTGAGACTTGCAGTCCCACTCAGAAGGGAGAGAATGACGTTCCTCACTTTCCGTGTGGTTCCTGGGAAGCTGGGTGGTTGTGGTGGCTGCACAGGGTGTTGGAAGCTGGAGATGAAGGAGCTCTGACCTTTCTCCTTCCAGGGGCCTCTGTGCATTTCTATTCTGGAGGTGGAGGCAGAATGCGCCTTGCTGAGTGGCCCTCAGCTTGTAGGCCTCGTGTTTTCTCCCCACTCCCACAAGAGCTATGTCCAGTATTTGGGGTGGGGAGGACGATGAAGTAGTCAGTAAGAGCAGACCCCGACTTCAACCTTTGCTCATCTCTGCATTTCTCTCTTTTTCTGCTGCAGTCTGGGAGACAGAAAACACCGGTAAGAGGAACCTTGGTGAGGACAGACTGCTGTCCATCTGTCTATCCAGCAGGAGCCCAGCTTCAGGAGATCCTGACTCTGGCTGCGGGGATCAGGATGGGGTGGGGGTACAGTGACTATCATGGAAGTGGGGGCGCAGGAAGATGGAGGACACAGCCCTTGAGTTCAAGGCCTTTTTGAACTTGTTCAGGAGGATGGAGCTCAGCTGTGGAGGGGCTAGAGGGGTTAGGAAATGAGCCTACGCGTGTTCATAGGCTCACGCACGCGCTTACACATGGGCCTGCGCCTGTGTGTGATCTGCACAGTTCTGTGCATCTCCGGTGGCTGACAGGCTGGGATGCACAGTGAGCAAGAGGGCCGAAGGGACAATACCTGCAGCAGGCAGGCCGAGCATTGAAGGGTCAGGGAGGCTTCCTGGAGGGGTGGCATGTCTTCTTGGAAACAGGATTTTGACAAGAAGAGCAAAAATGGAGTTCATTGCTAGGCTACCATGGAATTTTGGCATAGGAAAAGAGTGGAAGTGGGAATAAAGAGTAAGGAGGGAGAGAAAGGTCTGAGGATGAAGTGTTGGGAGTTCTGGGTTCCCTTTGGGAGAGCAGGTTTGGGGGCCATGTTGGAGTTGAGCTGCAGGGAAGAAACCCCAGCGTGGCATCCCCGTCGCTGTTCCTTGCCCTTTCCCATGCCCTCCCATCCTGCTTAGAGCCTCCTTCCTGTTCCCTCAGGGTTCGGTGAGGACTGAGTCGCAGGCCATCCTGGATATCCCAGAGACACAAACCCAGCCAGGGTGGTGTTAGTTAGAAGGTGCAGAAAGGTGTGTGGCTGCTGTGTGATGCAGTTTCTTGATCCCACCCCAGTCCTCGGGGACCAGGAACAGCCTTGGCCTTGGCGGTAAACAGTGGGTGACGTGGCAAGTCAATGACCATGCATTTGAGCCCTGCTCACATCCGTGTTTTGCAAGACAGCTTGATTTCTCTGATAGTAGCTCTTTGGTTCTCTCAGGCAAAGGCTGGTGAGAGCTGCATTTGCTGCCCTGGGCACTCTGAGACCCCACTTCTGGCTGGGCTTGGCCCTCTGTGGGTGTGTGGTCTCTGGGTGGCCACTTCTCTGGTGTAGTTATGGTTGTCTAATGGAAAATTGCACTTAAGCACACAACCTGTACACACATACTGGGGAGCCACATATCTCTAGAAGCCTCTTCATGGATTCCAAGATCCCTGGATTAGATGGTTCCTGATAGTTTTGATCTTGGTCACAGAGAACAGAGGTTCTCAGACTTTAATTGTGCATTACAGTTACATCCAGGTTGTTGAAATTCAGATTCTGAAATACAGACCTTGCTCCTGGGGTCTCTGATTTATAGGTCCAGGGACAGGGCCTGAGCATGTGCATTGCTAGCTGGTCTCCTAGGTGATGCAATGGCCCCATCTAGGAGCCACTGCCCTAAAATTCTGTGCTCCTGTGAAGTTGCTGGGGCAAATCAGCCTGGTGAAGTAGGCATCGTCACTGTGGGGTTTGACAATCTGGAGAGCACTCCATCTCCTGGAGATTTTAACAATACTCGCAGAATAGTTTTGGAACAAAAAGGTTTATGCTTTTCTGAGTCTACACTGTATGATAAAGAAAATAAAAGAAAGGAAATGTTTTATTTTTCTTCCAGGACATTTTTTAAAAAATTGTTTTTTAAAGCAGCTTCTCTTTCCTCTTCCCACCACCCTGAAGTGGGCAAAGTAGAGAGGAAATGAGGCTGGGGGGGAGGGGTGGGACTTGGCCAAGATGCTCTTTCTGCTGGGATTTTTGGGCTTTCTGAAGAAGTGTTCAGAGGAACTTGGAAGGAGGTCGCCATGGCAGCCTGGGAGGGATTTTCTGGAAAAGGGCTGGCTTGGCACGGAGCTATGGGACACAGTTGCACTCTTCTGCGGCCCCAGGGCTGGCCACGGCTCCTCCTTAGCCTGCACCACAGCGCTTGCGTTGGAGAAGTGGCGGCCAGTCTCCCCACTCAGACAGAACTCTCCTTTCGCCAGGGTCCCCCCTTTTCTTCTTCCCCAGGCCCCGGGAAATACGTTTCTGACTCCTGGCCAAAGAGCTTGGCCTTCGATCTTCCTGCTCAGCCCACGAGGGTGCAGGTTGGACAGGCACCGGGCTTCCCTGCTTGGCCTCTGCCTTCTGCTTTGTGTCTCCCCGACCCACTGTCCCCTTAGCCTCCTTTCTGAGCTCTTCAGAGGCAGCCCTGGTCACACAGTGTGTGCCCAGAGCCCCTTTTCTGTAGACATTTTTTGTTACACAATTTCTTAGTCCCTGAAAGAATTAACCCATGTGTCATAAGAGACCAGGTGGCTTATTGGAAGCCAGGCTGGGGACAGGTGTCCATCCGGGGAATGCTCAAGCACTGGCTGGAAGAAGGGGGGCTGCTGGAGCTCTCCCCTTCCCTGGACATCCGTGGCCCTTCCTTACACACCACTGGGTGAGGGGGGATGAAACGCACGTTCATTGGAGGCTAAATCAGCCCCAGTTCTCCTTTGCCACCTAAAAATGACTCTTTCAATTACTGTGGCTGACCTTGTCCTCTCGGGGATCCCACAAAATGACCTTAAAGTCGATTAAAAGAAAATTAAAGCACATTAGCGACAGGAAACAGACCACCAAATACTTAAAAGCAGACATTTTTTAAAAAACCTAAACATCAGGCTGGGGATTTAGCTCACTGGCCCCATGCCTGCCTCACAAGTGCAAGGTCCTGAGTTCGATCCCCGGTACCAAAAAACAAAAATAAAACAAAACAAAAAACCTTAACAGTCATCTTTTTATTTTTTTGGTACCAGGGATCGAACTCAGGTCCTTGCGCTTTTGAGGCAGGCGCCAGAACCACTGAGCTAAATCCCCGGCCCTAATATATATCTTAATAAGGTCCATTGCTAGGTTGGCAGAGGTTTGGTCCTTATTAATTAAGAAGCAAGCCAGGTGGCCCTTTGGTGTGAAATGTCCCAGCTGCTAGGAGTCTCAGAGCTGCAAATTCAAGTACCTCCTATGACTGTCCTCCAGGTGTGCCAAAGACTGTCACCTCATGGTCACTCGAGGCAGTTGGGCACAGATGTCCTATTAGAAATCCCTGGAGCTGGGGATGAGGGCCCTGGAATCTGTATTTGTGATCAGTCTTGGGGTGTTTTTCTGTACATTGACTTTTTTTTTTGGTACCGGGGATTGAAGTCAGGACCTTGCACTTGTGAGGCAGGTGGTGGCTCCAGCTAAATCCCTGGCCTTGCATATGGACTTCTGAGAAGTGCTGACCCAAGGTCCAAGAAAGGGGCTGTGACTATTTCAGAGAGCACTCATGGGAATATTCCCAGGGAAGGATGCAGAAGTACTGGCTTTGGCAGGCTCAGTTCTCTTCCCTTTGGTTTAGAGATCAGCCTGCCCCTTGCTACACCCACCCCTGCTTCTTGGTGAAGGCTAAGCTGTCCTTCCTTCTCAGGTGGGCAATGGCTTCCATGACTTCCCACTTTTGCATATGAATTCAGGGCCCTTGTGGCCATTTCTGCTCTTCATCAAGTTTTCTTTCATGGTAGATAAGGGCTTGGTGAGCCGGAACTGCACCGAAGAAGGCTGGTCTGAGCCCTTTCCTCATTACTTTGATGCATGTGGATTTTATGAGAATGAAACTGAGCCTGAAGACCAGGTGAGTGCCTGCCCTTCACCCTAGTGGTGGTGGGCAGGGCTAGGGAACTCAGGATCTAGGCATTACTCTGAAGTACCAGCTGTATACCCAAGCCTGTGCACATGAAGGCAAGATGTCCACTCACTGCCTCAGGCTGACCCTGGCTGCCACTTCTAGAATGCTGGCTTTCCTATGACCCAGCAATAGAGGGTTAATGGTGGGCCCAGCAGGAGCTTCCTGGACCCTTCTCCAGGCTAAGGCTTCTTTCTGTTCTGAATGGTCAATGCTATTCCTTCAATAGACATTTAATGAGCATATGCAGAGTGGGAGTACAGAAGGGAGTGAGACACTTAGCCAGGAGTAAAGAGGCAGTGGGAGGTGAGATTGCTAGGAGAAGACGAGGAGGAGCTGGGTCCAGTGGGCCAAGTCCTGCCTGGAAGAGCTCAGGCCCAGGGGCCAGTGTTAGGCCTCATGGAGAGTCCAGCATGCCCTGTGCTCTGTGCCCTACTCCAGGATTATTACTACTTATCAGTGAAGGCCCTCTACACGGTTGGTTACAGCACCTCCCTGGTCACTCTCACCACAGCTATGGTCATCCTGTGCCGCTTCCGGTAAGACCCCAGCAACCTCTGAGCTGGTGCAACCCATTGCAGCTCAAAGCCTCACCCCCTCCTTGGTTGTCAGCCCTGGAAAGTCACTTGGAAGGGATTCACCAACCTGTAGCACAGCAGATAGAAACCGATCCCTACAGAGGGCACCGGGCTGTCCACGGCCACCCAGCAGGCCGGAGACCTACCCTGCTTGCTTTTATACTCCTGGTCTGGGTAGAGAGAGGACAGAGAAAGCCATGTCTGCATATGGAGTCGGGGGATCAGATACAGGGGCCTGGAAGTCAGTAAGGGTTAGGTAGGTGGGAGAGGGGTTGGCCTGGCTGGGCCCCCATTGGGACAAAGCCAGTGAGAAGGCCCAGAGAAACCTGGAGGGTATGAGTGCTTTGGGTTCAAGGCTACCCGCTCCCTGACCTGCTCATGTAGGAAGCTGCACTGTACCCGCAACTTCATCCACATGAACCTCTTCGTGTCCTTCATGCTGAGGGCCATCTCGGTCTTCATCAAAGACTGGATCTTGTACGCTGAGCAGGACAACAACCACTGCTTCATCTCTACTGTGAGTGAGCCCTGGGAACCCCACACCACCACCTCAGGGTCACCCCCACACATACCTGACACCTCACAGAGAAGTGTGCTCCTGTAGGGGAAGGCATTGACTCCATCCACAGAGTCCTGGAATTGCCATACAGTTCCTAGTAGCCAGTGTGTGGCAGCACTTCCAGCAGCCAGAATGTGTGCAAACCCTTGGCCTGGGCCTTGTACCTGGTAGAGCGCTTGAGGAAGATTGAGCAGAAATGCCAGGTCCTACTTGACTGAAAAAGAAAATGAGGTTCAGAGAGGGCTTGCCAGGCTCTCCGTTATTTAACCAGCAGTGCTAGAGCCCAGGAGCTGAGTGGCCTCTCCAAGCCTGGGTTTGGAGGGGGTAATATGTAGGCAGTGGAAGCTGAGTTTTGATGGAATGGGACGGAAGGGGAATCTAGTGTCCAGACCTTGACTGGGACCGTGTGTGTGGAAGGTTTCTGTGAAAAAAGATTCCTGGGGGCCAGGCTCTGTATCCTCCCTGCCGGAGAGATTTCCAAATCCTCATTTCACAGGGAGCGTCCTACAGAGCTATCTGACTGCTTCTTTCTTCCCCTTCCCCGATGGAGTGAGGAGAGAAAAGAAGAACGGGAAGGCCAGCCTGGTGGCCCTGTGCTGCCCACAGTCCTTTCCCCGCATACCGCTTGTCTACCTGGGCAGCTTCAACACAGTCACAGGATGCTGCTGTTTTCATCTTCTTAATCCAGGAAGTCCTCTCCCTTAGCTCCTTGAGATATGTGAGCCCAGGCTTGCCAGTGCTCAAGGACCTCAGGACTGGTCCCATGGGGCTGGATTTTGGGACTTTTCTGGGGGCCAGAGAAGCTGAAACTTCCTGACCATGGGGACTCCCTGTAGGTGGAATGCAAGGCCGTCATGGTTTTCTTTCACTACTGCGTCGTGTCCAACTACTTCTGGCTGTTTATCGAGGGCCTGTACCTCTTCACACTGCTGGTGGAGACCTTCTTCCCTGAGAGAAGATACTTCTACTGGTACATCATTATTGGCTGGGGTAGGTCTCTGGCTGTGCTTGGTGGGGCTCAGGCCTCATGGTCAGGTGTGTCCTGGGTTGTGCCTTCAGAGAGTGGAAGTGAGGAGGGAGCCCTGCCCTAGGCTGATGACTAACTGCCCTTTCTTGGGCCCTTTCTTGCCCTTCCTGCCTGTGGGAAGCCCACTGTCTGAGGGAGAAGTTAAGCCCAGGACTCCCTTCCCAAGAGACAAGATACCTCAGTTCTGAGGGAAATGAAGAGTCCTAGAAAGCCAGGGTGTGAGGGACAGTAAGGGTCCCCAGGGACTGAGGCGCTGAGTGGACGGGTTTTCCTCTTATCATGGGCCTTTTCTTGCTCTCTCAGGGACCCCAACCGTGTGTGTGATGGTGTGGGCTGTGCTGAGGCTCTACTTTGATGACACAGGGTGAGTACATGCCTAAGAGGCAGAGCTCAAATACAGAGTGAATTCTTACAGGTGGCTTCTCAGGGACCACCTGTCTTCATGTGACCTCCACCAAGCAACTGTCCCAGCCCTGGGCACCACTGAGCCCTGGCCCCATGCATATCAGCAGTGTCTCTACCCAGAATCACAAGGGAATGCGCAAGGTTTCTGAGTCCTCTATGCTTCTGGGCCTAGCTATGAGTATTTTCCTTTTCCAGGGGGTGAAAGAATATTGAGGGTGATGTCACACCCAAAGAGCCCTGGATCTAAAAGGGATATATGGCCCTTTCCCAGGTGCCTAAGAGTAACCCCATTTTTATAACCAGAGCCTGGCATCCACAGGCGCCAGACAGCTCTCCTTTCAGCTAGCTCCTCCCCGGGAGCTGCAGGAGGAGACAGTGACTGGCTTCCAGCTAGCTGGGGCAGTGTCCTGCAGGGGTCCGTGGACATGATCTCTCTTTTCTCTGTCTGCCCATCTTTTAGCTGCTGGGAAATGAACGACAGCACGGCTCTGTGGTGGGTCATCAAAGGCCCAGTGGTTGGCTCTATAATGGTGAGTGTCCTTGGGACAAAGAGAAAGGGAAGCTACCTGGGCTGAAGGGCACACAGGAGGGGAAGTGAAAGGGGCCCACACAAATTGGCTTTCTTCTTTGTCATGGCTGCATTATGTTCTGGAACATGGATGCACAAATTAGGTAGCTATTCCTCTACAGTAGGGCCTGTATCTTATTCTATTTTTCCTCATTATAAAAGTTACCTCTGGGAATTGTTTTGTGCATAATTTCAGGCATTTGCAAATATTTCTTTACATGGTGGCATTGCATCAAAAGAGTATTCATTTAAACTTTCCGATTCCACATTATGTTGCAAAAAACCCTTCAGCAATTCATACTTCCCTTGGAAGGAAGGCTGGTTTCCCCCATATCATTGTCTGCACTCATAATGTCAATCATTGATATATTGCACATTCCTAAGGAGTGTAGTGATAGCTCATTTCTCCATGGTGCTAGTGTGACTGAGCAGTCTTTTCTGCACACTTACTGACAATTTATTTTTATTCTGCATATCCTTGTTTATTTCCCCTGCCCAGTTTTTAGCAAGTTGACTTTCTTACTATTTGAAGGACAGTAACACTGCATATGTTATACATGTTGCATTGCCAAGACAGCATAACCAGCAGACTTTGTCTTTATGAATTCTGTGCCTCATTTCTTGTGTATGGAGGCCTTTCCCAACCTAAGATGCAAAAATATTCTTTTTAATTATTTTAAGACACTTGTGGATTAGATTATTACATGTACACCTTTCATCTGACTAAAATTTATTTTTTTTAATCTGGCCCGAAGTGATATTTAATTTCACCTAATTTTATTTTTCAAGGATGTACATTCCACATTCTCAGTCCTTTTTATTGAATCCTTTCTCCACTATGTTGAAATGTTATTTTATTATAAACACTTGATATACTTGCATTTGGTTTCAGACTTTCACTTTTATGTTATTAATTTATTTGTCTATTCCCATGGCAGATAGTGCATTGATGGTAACCTTGTAACATGGTTTGATATATGATATGCAAATTTCTTTTCCTTTTATTCCCTGTAAAAGTTTTTTGCCTATTTACTCTTTGAGTGGATTTTGAATACCTTTGGCAAGTTGCAAATTTTTTAAAAAGTCTGGTTGAAATTTATGTAGACATTGCATTGAATTTATAGACTACTTTGGAGGAGAACCAATTTTCTTAAAAGTTTGAGCCTTCCTCTCCAAGAGCATGGCATTATTCTCTATTTATTCAGTCTCTCATGGAGCCATTTAGGTGAACTCTTTTTTTTTGTTTTTTTCTTTTTTAGGTGAACTCTTTTAGTGTTTATCTTTGTTCTTGTTATATTAAGGTGTTTTCCAGTTTGGGCTTTTATTCAGTTTAGGACTCCTACCATTATATTTTCAGATGAGTTACTGGTGTTGTATTGGGATGGTGTTGATTTTTGTGTATTTTTTCTTTGCTTAGTTACATTTCTGAACTCTCTTACGAGTTTATAACCCTTTTCATTGATTCTAATGGATTTTCTAGGTAGAAAATTATGTAATCTGCAAATGAAAATAGTTCTTGCTGTATTTGTCTCTTCCTTGCAGTATTTGTCTCTTTCTTGTTTTTGTTGAGGTTGCTGTTTGCTCTAGCTCTGGGCAGTGATCCTGCATTGGATTGGGAAAGTTCTTCCTGGCTTTAGTATGTATTTTTTAAAAAATCAAGCATGGGTATTGAATTTTATCAATTGTGTTTTGGAGACAGTTATTGGAGTGATCATACCTTTCTTTAGTGATGGACATAGTATTCCACTTTTATTTCATTATAAACAGTGCTACAAGGAATATATTTGTGCCTAGCTTAAGCATGTATGAACATATTTCTAAAATAAATCACCAGAAGTGGGATTTCTGGGACAAAGGATGTGTACGTTTGACATTTCTGTGGCTGGAAAATTGCCCTCTACGAGTGTTCATTTCCAGTACTTCCAATGGCTCTTTTGATGTTTCAATTATGAAACTGTTGGCAGTCCTATAGGAAATGGTGGAAGCTTATTGTTTTAATGACTACTAGTAGATTTTTTTTTTTGCATTTGTAGTATTGAATCTTTGTGACCATTCTCTGTTTATTCCTTGATGCACTGCTAAATTCTGTGTTAATATTTTGTTTAAAGCTTTTGCATTGCTTTTCATATATTCTGTGCTCTTATGATCTGTGTGTTTGTGTCTGTTTTCTGTCTTTATCTGGTTTTGGGACCAGAATTTTATTAGCAGCATGGGTAATCTAAGGGAGTTTCCTTTTGTTTGCTTCGAATCTATTAAGTAGCATGTAAATGATATCTTCCTTAGATGTTCATAAAATTATCTGGACCTGATGCTTTTTAACTAATTTCCACCTTTATCTACTTTTAAAATTTCTTCTGAGGTTATTACTTAGATTTTCTCTTTCTCCTGCAGTTGTTTTTGTTAATTTTTATCATTTTCTTTGATGCTCTCTCATGGCTTGAAATAATTTGTACATATTTTGTCCTCTTTCTCACCCCTAAATTTATTTAATTATATTTTCTTCTTTTGAATTGACTAGCACATGGAGTGAACAATATTTGCTGTGCTAATTCCAGACACTGATTAGACACTAGCCATGTAGCAGAGAACAAGACAGAATAAAGAGTATACTTTCTCATTCTAACTGATCTGTAAAAACAAACAAAATAAACACAAAAATATAATTTTATTTTTATTGATCAAATCTCCTATTTTTCCAATTCCTCTTCAGAGTTTTTGATCTCCATTAATTCTCTTCTTGTATAAATTAGATTAAATTTGTGGTGCTCTTTCTCTAACTTTTTTTTTTCTGGTAACAGCCATCAAACTCAAGACCTTGCCCTTGCAAGGTAGGCATGGCATCACTGAGCTAAATCCCCATCCTTTTTTCTAACTTTTGATTTGAATGCTTAGTTATTTTTCAGCAAGTATTATTTTTAATGGATTGGTTTTAGGCTATTGTTTTTCTTCACGGGGTACTTTGGTGACATCCCAAGGACATCCCTGAGCAGCCCTCTGGCTCCCCTTCCTCCTCCTTTCTCACCTTGTTTAGAAAGCCTTTGTCACTGATCTTTATCCAGAGGCACATGCTACTCTTTCTGTTCCCAGGCCACCCATAATTAGCACTGCTCTGGTGTCCATGCTGCTTCTCCAGATCCCATGGCTCTGAACTTGGAGTTTCTCCAGAGAACAGCTCTCAGCTCTGCAGTTGCCTCTTCTGTCTTTTGAGTTGCAGTTTTTCCATCCCCCTCATCCTACTTTCCCTTTCTCTTCCAGAAGTTGTTCATTTTCCTGCCTTGCTCATGATATTCTTCCCTGTTTCATAGCACTTTTAGGAAATTTCATTTCTCTACCCTTTCCTTCCTTTCACTGACACTGTGGGAGGCTGGGGAGATGCCCTGGAGTTCTTGGATTAGAAATCTGTGTGATCTTGACTAAGAAGCTGTGAGAGGGTCCTGCTGGGGAGTAGTAGTATGTGCAGAGGCAGGGATATGCCACATCTTTGACCCAGTTAACTTTTTCTGCTTTTTCTTTGCTCCTCAGGTTAACTTTGTGCTTTTCATTGGCATCATTGTCATCCTTGTGCAGAAGCTGCAGTCTCCAGACATGGGAGGCAATGAGTCCAGCATCTACTTGTAAGTACCATCATGTGGGTGCCACAGGCATTTCTGAAGGCCATGGGGGCCTGCGCTTGAGTCAAAAGCAAGAGAAGCTTGGGCTCTGCTGACAGGGGGACCTAGCATGGCCATTTGCAAAATTCCTTCCTAATTAAAGTGTTTTTAAAATATAGACAGACAAGGGCCAGGGATTTAGCTCAGTGGCACCGTGCCTGCCTTACAAGTGCAAGGTCCTGAGTTTGATCCTCAGCACCAAAAAAAAAAATTT